AGAAGATGGAGCACATACAAGACTCCTCTTTATTTTGATTATACTTTTGGTGTCTAAAAAACTGTACAGAACACGCTTGTATTACAATTATTATATTAATGCAATGGATGTTGTTGCTTGTCTTTACTATTATGCATTATTATGATACTGTACATGACGTCCTCCACCCCAGAACGTATTCCGCCGTTCTCGGTTTTGGGGTGTGACATTGACCCACTTCAAAGTTTTCTATGGGTAATTCATGATGAATTGGCTGAAGAGTCACAGAGGTTTTGACTGAGGACTGTGGTAAGGATGATTTGACTACCGCAGAATAAGACTGAGTTAGGACTTTGAGAGTCACTGCGGTCTGAGGGCAGAGATGGACAGTCCTTTGAGACTTCGGGACTCTCTATGACAATTTCCTCATCAACAACTGATGAAGTCTGAGAATTGGGATTTTGATCACTAGAGTGACTAGGAAATTTAGGCACAAATTCCTCAATGACACAGTTGTTACTTAGATTATGAAGTCTACCGAAGTGAGTTCTGATGTCTTCGGGAAAGGTTTTGTCATTGAGTGGGAAATGGAACTCTCGATCAGGAGGGACATAAAGTCGATCTTTGTTAAACCGGGGTGAGGAATCCTTTGCGGTAGGATATCCATTGGACCAACCCCAATTATAGGTGTTATCTACGGTTCCATTGTTCACCAAATTTTCAATAGCTTCACTTTCATTGAACTGTTTTTCTATTAATAGATTCAATCGTACAATCTCACTCTGAGCTAAATCTCTTTAGTTCAAAGCTATCTCTAGTTGTGTTTCACTCAACATTCTTGCATCTTTCTCTAACTCTAAGTCCTTTTCTAACATAGCTAATTTGAGTCTTTTGTTATCCAATCGTCCTCTTACATGAAACATCTCTTGGGACACTATGTTCTTCTCATCTAGAGCTTTTTTTATAGTCTGTAAGGATGGCAGCACATGTGTCATTAAGATTGTCTATGAAGGGTTGACAGTCATGCATGCTATAGTTTAGAGTTTGAATCATGAGTTTTACCTGTTCGACGATGATTAGAGTTCCGTCCTTTGCCATGTAGCAATAGTTATTTTCCAGTTTTGTAGACTCATCATCATCCGCAGTTGCCAACATGCAAATCTTGCCTTTTGCTTTGATGTTGCTGATGTCTTCATCCTCATCTCCAGATGACCAAACTTGATGGTCTCTTTTTACATGGGTGGCTACGTATGCCCTTGCCGTTTCCTTTCCTCCAATTCCCGAGCCATTCTAAGGTAGAATGCTCTGTCTTTCACTATGTTAGCCTTGCAGTCTTTTGCAAAATGATTCTCCTTGTTGCACTTGTGACAAATTACAACTTCACTTTTATCTTCTGAAGAGGTACCGGAGTCAGTTGGATTGATGGGCTTCGGTGCCTCTTTGGGTTGAGTAGTCTGAGGTTGCGGTGGTGGGTGAGAACTTTTGGGATATCGAGAGTGGTTATTCTGCGGGTTGAAGTTGCGGTTGAATGAAGGTTTGTTGAACTGCTGATTCTTACGAAAAGAAGGAGGTGGTAGCCGGTTGAACTGTTGGCTAACAAGAGCAATAGCCTTCTGAAATTCTTCTTCATCATCATACTCTGAGTCAGCTTCGTATGACTGTGGAGGATTGTCATACGAGGGAGAGTAAGATTGAGTTTGTGGTACTTGTGCTATAAGAGCAAGTGGTCCTCCGAAGTCAGCACAATGTTTGAGTACAGTGGATTCTTGTGCTTGCAATTCCCTGTAGAGCTTGTAGACAAATAAAGAATGAATCTTTCTATCCCCTTGGACTATCATCTTAGTAGTAGTCCAGTGTCTTCCCAAACCATTAAGAAACTGAAGATTTGTTTCATGGTTACTGCGGATGGTGCCAGCATTAGATAACTTAGTGACTATCAGGTTGAACCTTTTGAAGGAGTCTTCCAAACTTTCGCCAGTATGAGCTTTGAAATTGTTGAATCATTGAGTGCATTGTGAGCTTCGTAGCTTCTTCTTGAGCTTGCTCTGAGCCTTCATACAGGTTTTTCAGAACATCCTTGATCTCTTTTGCTGATTTGCAGTTTATGATAATGTTGAAATTGTCAGGAGCAACTCCACAAGAGATTTCATAAAATGCAACAACATCATTTTCCATTTTATCGAGATCATCTTTGGTGGGACGATTCAGGGCTGGTTGACCTCCTCCTAGTCTGGCTGTGGCGCCGTCGGTTTGAACAGGTGTAAGAACAGGGACATGTGGCCCTTCTTCTACAGATCGCCATACATCTCTACCAAGTCTCCTTAAGTATCTTTCCATTCTCTGAGACCATGATGATATTCATTTGCCACCAATATTGGGGCTCTATTAGAACCCCAACACTGTTGGAAACATGAGTGATAATGCTTGTGCCATATTTCCTTGTTTTTTTGAAAAGTTTTTTTTGTTTTTTTTAAGAAATGAGCTCCAGTGGTATAGAAGGCCTTTTGAAAATCAGAGTTTTACTTCAAAAAGCAACCACTTTGGCTCTGATACCAATTGTTGAGAGAAAAACTTGAGAAACACACTTGAACAAACGTTAGAACAAGTTTATATTGCGGAATTTAAAGTTAATCTCAAAGGATCATAAAGCTCAACAATAATATAAGTTAGAGTTAGATAGTTAGATGATTAGTTGCGGAAAGAATAAGGAAATATAAAAGACAGCAAGTATTATATCAAGTAAACACTTAAGTTGATTCTTAACAAGGAATGCAATCAGACCAAGTTAGTGAGTGAGATCAAACTTAGTGATTAAGTCTAGGAAAGACTTGCTCTTGAAGAGAGATTACAAGGAGTTACGATTATATTTAGGTGATAAGGTAGTAGAGAGAAAAATGAGTGATAAGATTCAAGATGCGTAAGAGAGGTGTTTTTATTGAGAAAAAGAGAACTCTATTTATAGAGTCTCGAAGATTACATACAGTCTAATCTGTTTGAATTGCCACGCAGGGCACTACGGATAAAAGAAAGTACTTATACAAGGAACAGATAAAAGACTGAATCTAAGAACTGATGACGATGACTGCGGTTGCTGATCTGACTGCGGGGAGAGATAGACTACGGTTCCATAAGCAACTTCGGAACTCTTTTAAGTTTAAGAGGGTCACTTTTAATGTTTCAACATGTCTTTAAGATTAAATTTTGAATACATGCAGTGACGAGTCTAAAATACAAAAATAAATGGTTCACAATTTAAAATGGAACCAATAGAAAACCATATAGACTTTAGAAATCATGATTATTTTTTTTTAAAACAACTCTAGTTTACTCCTAAATTATTTATAATCACTTATGTCCTAATTAAATGAAACTTAAACCTTTAGTGAAATCTTAATTTTTATATATATTTGTTTGTCAAAAAGATTTATATAGTTCCTTTTTGTTTTAAGATACGTCATAAATTATTTATATATACAACTTAAAAAAAAAAAAAAAAAAAAAAAAAAAAAAAAAAAAAACTATTGTAGATGGGTAATGCTCCACCTTATGTACATGCGAATAAGCTATCATTATGTTTTACGATATATCAACAATTTTTTTTTTTTTTTTTTTTTTGTTGAAATCTCACATCTACGTACTATACACGATCTCAATCACTTCAATACATATGTTAAATTTTACTCTCTCTCTCTCTAAGACTCTAGTATAATAAACATCTACGTACTATACACGATCTCAATCACTTCAATACATATGTTAAATTTTTATTGTTGAAAATGTAGTATTTCGCATATCTAATACACATGCAGTCAAAGTTATCGTCTAACACCGCATAGACTCAACACAACTGATCTGATCTTATAAAACCTATGTCATAAATGACGTGTTTTAGCAGCTGGTTGAGCAGTCGTGGCAGCAAACAACATGCAAAGTCTTGACTCGTTTTCATTAAGAGTCTCATATCGGCTACACATGGTGTCATTTATATCTATATATTTTTTAATATATTTTCTACCTCTCTTTAAAACAAAAAATATATAAATATATACTTTTGGAAAGAATATTCAACACTTCCCATGACTCTTTATACTTTAGATATTGTTATGTCAGAGGATATTTATTTCTTTATTACAACTCCAACAAAAATTAATTGGTATTATTTAAATAAATCATGAGTAGTAAATTTTGCTTCCAAGTAGTGTTATATTTTTTAACTCATCCAACAAATATGAGATTTGTCAAATTATAAATATCTCACTCTTTTTGCACATTTTTGTAAAAATAATTTACCTTAGAGATATTAAATATACTTCTAGTTTTTTTCCTATAAATCTTCATACTCAATTAAATAGTAACACTAGGTGTAAAATCCGTGTATTACACGGGTTGATTAAAAAAAATAAAATATTAAAATGTAAATAATAATAATTTTTTAAAATAAAATTTTGAAATAAGGAATGAAGAAACATATTAATTACAATTTATTATAATAATTATTACTTTTGATACTTTACATATATAAGTATAAGATTATGTGGCTTTTTAATTTTAAAAATTGAAAAAAAAAACCATAAAATGGCATGTAGATGTTATTTATTTAAAAAAATCACAAAATAACAAGTATCAAAACTTATTAGAGATTGATATCTTCATTTATTATAGTAGATGTGTAATATTTAATGCTCATTTAATGATATTTTAATATAATAATATGATACATGTCGTCATTTAATTGGAAAGGAAAATTTATTGGAATAAAAATAAGAGGATATTTAATTTCTATTTTATCTTATTATTGAAAAATGAAAATAATAAATTTTGATCATTTAAAATGCATTTTCTAAATTGTACTTTTAGATAGTTTCTATGATATACTAAAAGTCAAACAAATTAGTTTTAAATAGTTTAAAGGGTCTCTTTACTGCTTTACATAATTCTTTTGTATCAGAAAACTAATTCAGGCAACTGTTCCCACTAATCACTCTCTCTTGTTCTTCTTCTCCATTATCTCTGCAACTTCAATGGAGATCCAAACCCACATAAACACTTTCTCTCTCATCTTCCTCACTCTTCTCTTTTCTCCATTAACATCACACGCCTGCCACCCTATTGATCATCAAGCATTACTCGACTTCAAACAGAAAATCACCTCAGACCCTTCGAACCTCTTACAATCATGGGCACCTCAAACTGATTGCTGCAAATCGTGGGATGGCATTGCCTGTGATTCCGCCGGCAGAGTTATCAATGTCTCCCGTTCTGGCCTCGTCTCCGGCGACGAATCCATCCTCGACACATCCATGTCCGGTACCCTCTCTCCTTCTCTTTCTAATCTCACATTTCTGCAACTCCTTGATCTCAGCGAACTCAAAGATTTAACCGGTGGGATCCCGCCGGAGTTCGGAAAACTTTCACGTCTAACCTACTTGTTTCTTGAAGCCAATAAGCTTTCTGGTTCAGTTCCGGTCACTTTTCGATTCCTTTTCCGGCTAAAAAAGCTCTACCTTAGTGATAATCGTTTGAGCGGAGGGATTCCACCGGAGATTTCCCGATCTTTTAAATCCCTTTCGGAACTTGGTCTTTCGGGGAATCAGTTTTCCGGTGAGATTCCATCGTCGATTGGGGAAATGGTTTCGATAACACAACTTAACTTTCATGAGAATAATTTCACTGGAATCATTCCGGAAACGATCGGAAAGCTAAAGCATCTTAAAAATCTTGACTTGTCGAATAATCAGATCACCGGAATCATCCCGGAATCGCTTGGATCGCTAGAGAAATTAGAGCTTTTGTATCTTAATCAAAACCAACTTTCTGGTTCCATTCCTTCTTCGATTGGTGGTCTCGTTTCCATTCAATTCATTCGTATGTCGGAAAATCAACTCACCGGTGTAATCCCCCCGTCCATCGGGAAGCTTACGAAGATCCAAAGGTTGGTATGTGATAACAATAAGCTCACCGGAAAACTACCCGCCACCATCGGTCATTTGATCAGTCTCACCGATATTTACTTCTCCGGTAACAGATTGACCGGAAGTATTCCTGCAAGTTTCGGCAACTTAAAGAACCTTCAAGCACTCGATTTATCAAGAAACATGCTTTCAGGCCCGATTCCACCTCAGCTTGCTAAATTACAGAATTTACAAACTCTAGATTTGTCATTTAATCCTCTGAAGCTAATCACATTACCAAATTGGTTTTCCAAACTGAAAGTTTTCCGGCTAAAGATGGCGAACACCGGAATCGAAGGTCCGCTTCCGCGATTCCTGTCGTCGGCATCTACAATCTCAGAACTTGATTTATCCAGCAACTCATTAACAGATGAACTACCACATTGGATCGGGAACATGACGAATCTTTCAAATTTAAATCTTTCAAACAACCGATTCACGAACTCGATTCCAGCTGAATTCAAGAACCTTTCCCTCCTAATGGACCTCGATCTTCATTCCAACAACTTTTCCGGCGACATAAACAGAATTTTCAAGAAAAATGTTCGAGACCCACTTGGCCATTTCAACACAATTGATTTATCGTATAACTCGTTTTCAGGACCAATCAATGTTAATGGCGATGAAGTGGCGATGGATGAAGTTGTTTCTTTGGTTTTATCGCATAATCCGATTGGCGGAATGATACCGGAATGGTTGAGTAAGGGGGAAGGACTGGAACGAATCTTGATTTCTAGTAATAAGTTGATAGGAAAGATACCGAAGGAGTTGTTGAATTTGAAGAAGTTGAAGGATTTTGATGTGTCAGAAAATAGATTAATGGGAGAAATTCCTGGGCATAATGCAAGCATACCAGCTTCTGCATTTTTGGGTAATCCTGGTTTGTGTGGGACCCCACTTCCGCCATGTAAGCATTCCTTTTGATGATGTGTCGTTTTGTTTTCTATTTATATAAATTTTATACAAAAGTTTTATTAAGATTCTATATCTACTTTATCTCTATTTATCTATTTATATCTCTTCTCCCCCACAAAATAAAAAAAACTATTTTGTAAGAATCACTTCCGCAGAATAAAATTCTTATACACTCGGAAATTGCAAGCGATGAGTCTCACGTTAACGTATTTATAGCATGAAAAAAATAATGGTGACCCGCTTGCCTCAATAAGTGGCCTCCGTCTAAAATGCAATTTTTTGTTCATTGTAAACAATATGGCATCCATAGTATTATATCACAATGCTCAAACCACCAAGGTAATGGAAGTACTTGTTTGGATTTTTAAATACCAAAATAATCATGGTCTTGATGTGAACACATGGAAATTTGAATAACTAGTCAACCAAGAATACCAATGAACTATCTTCTCAATGAATATAAACAAACAACCTATGAAACCAAGATAATAACTACAAGAAAACAAGAATTTTAACATAGTTTTACTATCAAGACGATATTGTACGTCCATATAATAAGAATATATAATTTTATTCCAATAGAGAACCAAAACTCAAACGATTGCAAAGCACGTAATATCAATGTATTTCTATGGTGTAACTAGGAGTGGTAGCACCCTTGGTATATTTTTAGAAATCACCAATCAGAATTTAATAAAAAATAAAAAAAATAATAAACAAGTAAAAAGTAAAAGTAAGAAAAAGGCCAAACACCGATCAGGATTCACCCTCTCTATTTTCTCTCTATTCTCTCCTATCGTTGCACCCTTGGCAAGCCCCTTAGCGAACCCCTAAGGGTGGTGTGTGGTGTGTGCTAGCGAGGGTCATAGCGATCCCCACTCTGTGCAACCTTAATCACTCTCAAACATGATTAAAAATTGCCTCCTCGACACCTAAAATGTAATGATGCTTTTATTAGAATACTCAACAAGCTAAATTCATATAGCTTGAACGGAAATGTAACACCCGAAATTTAGGAATAGAAGTTTTAGCTATAAAGAGGAAATATTTATAAAATAGAAGTTTATTTTTAAATTTAATTAAATAAAAATAGTTAGTTTAAAATTTCGAAGTTAGTGGAAAATAATTAAATGAAAATCTTATTCATTAGTTGGGTGATAAGTTCGGACAAAACCTCTAAGATAGCGAATGTATCTTTTTATATATATTTCTAATAAAACAAAGTCAGTACATAGCTACGGAAGGCAAACAGACAACAAGTTGCGCCGCTAGGCCTTTCTGGATGACAAAACTAATTCTTTTGAAAACAACATCCGTAGATCTAGGGGACATTACATTACTATGCATGACCCGTTGAACTCTGTTGAGGAGCTCCACCGCCTTTGGTGCGAGAAAAAGCAAAAGTATCAAATGCAAAAGGTATAAACACATGTTGATTTTCAATGCATACGTTCTCATGTTTGGTCACCTTGCACGTGACGACTTTCAAAGCAGTCTGTCCCGCTGTGAAACCTCTACTCCTCAAGCCCGCAAGAGGGGAGACCCCAATAAGATCCACACAAGCATGTTTCCCTCCTACCTATCCAAAGACCAATATGTCAGTCGGCCGGAGTATGGATCTTCCATCCAGCGGGTCAGTCAAAAAGTTCACAGCCACTTCTTTCTTCATGGAAATCTCATCAAGCCGACAGACGTCAAAGAGAACGTCCCTGACCACATCATGTCGGTATTTGAAACCTGAGCTCTCTACAATGAGCTGCATGTTCCCCATAGGAATCCAAACATGTCTTGCGGCACACTGGGCATATCTCGTCGACAGTGAATATAGGAATCATAAGGTAGTAACGAAGGATAGTACTGTATTCCACAGGAGACATATGTTGATCGAGCCCGTCAATAAGGATAGGTAGCAGAAAATCTTGAGCATGTGGTGCTCGAAGACACTCAAAAGCTACTTTCTGTCTAACAGGCATGTGCATGTCGACTTCCATATCCTTGACGATTTTACTAAAATGGGCACTCACCTCCACAAACCACAATATCCTCGATAGACTTGCACAACCCTTTGTCAAAGAATACAGTTGCCTCCACCAGGGGCACGGGTTGTCAAGTCTTCAAACCAAACAAAAGTTTTGCAATGCCCATACATGAACAAAGCAAAAGGATCTCACTTTGCGGGTCACATAGCTAGGGAAGAAGACTCATCAAATCGACAGCATTGACAACTCTCTTCCTTGCCAATCCGCTAATAAACCTTGCATCTCTTCTAATTCCCCCCTCCTACAAGGAACTTCACTCCCAAAGACGGTCTCCTTATATCTGTTGGGAATAAGCCGACATAAAGCTTCCTACCATCACATGGGGGCAAAAAAATCTATGTTTTTTTAATATTCAACTCCAAACCCAATCTTGGATCACTAACCTAAATAATGTTCAACACTTTGGCCACCTCTTCTGAATCCCCAATGACGGTCTGATCATTCTAGATACCAAGCATGAAGAAAGAGCTTGCAATTGTCTCTAATCTCATGCACTAGCGGGTGCAATAAATTCTTTTAATTAGGATATAGACTTAAATTGTAAGATAATTTTATTATGTAAGGTAATATTATAATATAAGATATGATAAAGGTTATAAAACGTTAATTTGGGTTAATAACAAAATTAAGATTAAGGGATCAATCTTCTCAAATATGGAAAGATAGGCTTGATGTGTAAATTACTTAACTAGATCTTGGACCTTATTGTTAAGATACTAACTTATTAAGGTACGTGATGAATATCTAAATGTGTATGAGAGTTGGGAGTTAGTTGGGGAATAAATTAAAAACTTCAAAAGTTTAGGGACTATTCTTGTCAAAAGACCCAACATTTTAACTTTAACCATCAAATCTGTCATGATCAAGAATCTTCGTTAGAACAATTGTGTAAGATAGATAGGGATGGGAGACGATTTTAAAGAGAATAAGCAATTAGAAGCCTGAATTAAATTATCCAAGTCATTTTAAAGAAAAAGAGCTTGAATCAACAAATAAACATTAGGAAGATGGCGAATCTTCACTTATCTTCTTCATTTTGACTTATAACTTTGAAAATCTATCACAAATCGGATTTTTTGGATGATTTGTGATTAGAATTATAGGTTGATGATGAACCCCTTCCTAGGTTGCATGTCTAGTATAGTAATTCCATTCCTGTAATCGAGTTTGAGTTCATGAAGCTTCCAATGTAGTTTTAAAAGTCTGGCTTGGTGACATCAACACTCACACTAGAGAGATTTTATTTAAGGTAATAATTTACATTAATTGTATGGTTTAGATCGAAGATATCTGATGCAAAGTCCAAATCATGGTGTTAAAACCTGAGTCAAAATTGAATTTCTTAAGCTTTAATGGAAATTTTTAGGTTTCAAATGATGTTTTTAAACATTCGTAGGTTAATCATCAATTAGAATAATGTTTTGAAGTTATTAACTCAGTATAGATTGTTAGTTATATAAGTTAATTAAATATAGATTTATCAAGGTTTGAACTAGAAGTTGACTAAATCTTCTTATAATAGTACATCATGATTTGAGGGATGCTAAAAAGGTGTTAATATTATTGGAAGTTAGTTTGATGATCCTTGATGCAAAGCATGGGTGAAAAATCAATGACATAGAGTTTAACGATCTTTTTCATACTCACATGGCTAGAGGTAGCATCATAAATATTTATTTGTTCAAGCTCTCCGTATTTATTAAGACTTTGTACACGTAAAATCTAAACCAAATATTTCTTAAGCATATAACACATGAACCATTTAAACATTTTCAGCTAGTTAAAAAAACAGACTTATTATTGTTCATTCTCCCGACCACCAACTTACGGCTCAAGAATAGGTATAGGTTAAAATTTCTTTCTCATGGGCACATCCTAAAATTCCTTATGTGTTAAATGCAATGATTGTGTTAGAAGTTGAGGTTTTCATGGAAAGGATAACAATTATGGAGGCAATCTTGGGGGTTGGAGCTACCTAAAATGCATATTTTTGTTCATTCTCAACTTTATGGAATCCATCATATTCCATCTAAATGCTCGAACCACCAAGGTAATGGACGTACTTGTTTTGATTTGTAAATACCAAAATGGTCACTGTTCTGATGAGAACACACCAACAACATAACGGAAATTTGAAAAACTAGTCAACCAAGAATACAAATGAACTATCTTCTCAACAAATACAAACAATCAACCTAAGAAACTAAGATAATAATTGTAAGGTCACACCTATTGATCTGAGGAGTCAAACACATAGCGCGTTGTCCACCAGCTCCAGCTTCATCAGCGACAGCGTGATCCTAATGATCTTAGTGATCATTTGTATATTAGGTAGATATTCTCTGTAATTATAGCATAGATAGTTGATATGTAATCCTAGTGATTAGGATCAGACCTTACATAGATTAGAATATACCCCCAAAATAGTGGGATCTACGTTTCTATAATCGTATATGTTGAGGCAATAAAGTAAACATCGATAGATTCAAAACAGTTTTGATGAAACAAACAATAAGAACAGAGATTGAATGTGATTGAAAAGGTACCGAATGCTTAATTATCAATATCTTAGAAGAATTCGATAGAACTTCTCTGTAAAGATATGTAGGGCTTACAAAAACATTAACCCTAAAATGATACATGCATAATATATTTATAGTCTAACCCTAGCTGCATAAATGCGGATGGACAGGCCCAATCTGATAACAATAAAGACTAAATACATGTATAATCAATATTCACACAACACCATAAATATCCCAACAATATATAGTATACTATTAGGGTTAAACCCTAATAGAGCTTTGTGCCTCACTTTGTGCGACTGTTGTAACACTTGAATCTTCGTATGTTTCTCTATTGCCCTTGTTGTTATAAAAGTTGCATTTTTGGTCCTTATGTAGTACGCGGGGGGTACCACATGGTATGCTTAGCGTACAAGCTGTGAAGCGAGTACGCGGGGCGTACCAC